GTTTTGGCCCACAGTGAGTATTATCACTGTGTCATAGACACACTCCTGCGTTCCTCACAGTAGAATAAAATGAATTTAGAAACTTAAAAATAGTAGCTTACCCTTGTTGTAGACTAACATACCTGGGTTGGGAGCAACAACTTTTGAAAGCTAGTCTCTTTTGTCTACCTATAGGGTAGCCATGAGGAACATGTAGCCCTACAGGTATTTTTGGACTATAATTTTCTTTAAACCTGATCATTAGCCTCCTGTTCAGGGTTGATGGAGCTGGAATCCAACATCTGGAGTATCACAGGTTTCTCCTTCCCTGCTGTAGACTCTCAGACAGATGTTTTCTACATTCTTGCTCCCCAGGATTTTTTCTTAGCTGGAGAGCTGGCACACAAAATGAATGTTGCTCTTTGAAATATGACTCTGAGGAGACAGAATTCACTTCTAAGATTAATAATGATGCTTCTAGAAGCATCTGATTACTTGACCTTCATCTGATCCAGGACATTTCTGATCTAGGTCTTCTGGAGCAGGAAAGTAGACTTTCAATAGGACATCTACCCTTCTATTGGTAGTCTACTGTTGTCAAAACTACATGGAGCTTTACATAACCCAGTGGACCTAAACTGAAAATGTCTATGACACAAACTTTTTTTGCTATGCAGAGATCGTCTCCATTTTAAAAAGAAAAAAGAACATATGTATAATTTTGCCTAGCTTTCACACGATCTGATATGGATGCTTGCTAGCTTTCTTTAGCTGTGACTCTTGAATGGATTAGCATGTTGATGATGGCATCTGTATGAGAACTCCAGTACTGTGCTCCTGAGTACCACAAGAGATAATGTGTCTGCCTTTACAAGGAGAACCAACTACCAGGAGAGATTAACTGATGCTCAGCACGAAAAGAAACCCAAGAAACAGCATCAGATTGTGCACACATACATTTTCCAGAATTAAAAGAGCTTTCAGAACAATAGGTGATGCAGTGGGAACATTGGCAAGTGTTATTTTGTTTTTCTTGAATTGGCTTGTTCTTCAGGGAAAAAAAAGAATCAGCAAACTCTGAAGGAGGCACATAATTGTTCTACCTGTTCTATGTGGCTATTGAAAAGTAATTACAATGGAGGGCAATCACAAGACACTGGCATATATACGAATATTGACATCAATAGCAAAAAAAGGATCCAGTTCATTAAATATAGTTTTCTGTTGGCTGTAACAGTGGGTTATTTCTGGATTGCTCTCCTTGAGTTGCTCTGTCTCTATTCTTGGATGCAAAACTATCCTTGCTTAGGGCGAGTGCCAATCCTTAGAGCCAGAATACTATTCCTTGTGAAAAGTGAAAGCTTAGCAGAAACACCAAAGTTTCTGGAAACTTGTCAAATCTTTAATGGGAAGAACCCTAAGGGAGAGAATAACCCAAGCAGTCCAGTGGTGACTGAGCAGGCTCATTGCCAGAGAATGCAGAAGGTTTTCTGGGGGAAGAAATAGAGTAGAGTAGCTGATACAGGGCATGGTTGACTGGCCGACTGGAACCCTAATTAGGAACATCCATGTGCACTCTTACGTTGCAGATTTGTTAGAGTTTAAGGGAAATTCAGTGATATAGAATGATACAGAAGCCTACAGAAGAGAAGACTAAGGGGAGACATAAAAGTGATCTTCCAATACTTGAAGGGCTGTCATGGAGAAAAGGTGTGGATTTATTCTCTGTAATGCCTGAGGGTAGAGCAAGAACCAATGGGTGGAACCTTTACAAAGAGAGATTCAAACTTAAAAAGAGGAGGAATTTCTTGACAGTGAGAGCTATGAAGCACTGGAACAGCCTTTCTCCTGGAGTCATGACTGCTCCATCGCTGGAGGTTTCAAGCAAAGGTCAGACAGCTCTTTGTGTGGGATAGTATGAGGATTCCTGCCCCGCACAAAGCCAGAAAACCTCCAAAATCCCTTCCAACTCTATGATTCTATGAAACAGACCAAAATATGGATTCTCTTAAATGTGTCTGTACAGCTCTTCCATAGATGCTGTCTCCAGATATGCATTGAACTAGCACACTGGTGCAGGAGTAGGACATCAGTTAATGCCCTTTTCATTGGTTTCCCTTGAAACCTCTGCAGGTCTGCAGCAGACACTCTTTGTTCTGCAGAGAAGTCAGAGATAGGTTCTAGAGGGCATAGTTTCTTCAGAATTTTGAGCAGATGTTGAATGCAACTGTCATGCTGGATGAGACACGGTCCAGCTGTGTTAGTTGCAACCCCTATTACTTACTTCCAGCACTGCAGTGCTGTGATGGATGGGAATGAGAGCAGTTGTGTTCTAGATCATTTACAGGGTAGCAGTTTTGAGAAGGTTACTTTGAACATGATCAACATTTATCCATGATTGTATTTTGTAGCAACATGAAACTGCTACTGACAAGAGAAGTTGCTTGCTTCCTGCATTCATTTCTGAACTCCTGCAGAGTTTCAAAACCAGTAATCTAGAAGCAAGGATTTCTTGCCAAGAAATAATAATGCATTTCTGGACTGATTTATTTAAAGAACTTATTTGAAGGATGTAACTAACTTAAATTCAGAGTAACAGTGGTATCCTAGGCTCAGATGCAAGAGAAATGCCATCAGATCTTGAACAGGTTTTCTGCCTAGGTTTTGACTGCCTTTATAACAGTTTGTCTCTTTGTTGGGGAATACAGGACATGATGCCTTGACTAAAAACTGGTGCCATCAGCTTGAGTATATACTATCTCACCTACCTTGCATGGTCCCCTTAAGGAATCAGGAAAGCGATAGAGATAAGGAATAGCCGATGCCTCCATTTACTACCGCTTGCCTTATTATTGACTGAATTAAGTGATTTGTATCCCACTTTTTTAGTTTAAAACATCCCCTACTGTCAGTCTTGGACAAGTCATCTTTTGAACAGCTTCTTCAACTTCAACCATTTTCTGACCGAGGACCTCTTAATATGCTTCTCAAGAATCCTAAATCTTCTTTAAAAAAACAAAGGTGTTTTTTTTAAAAAAACCATTGTCACAAAAGAATCAATAACGCATTATTGGGAAACAAAGTTGTTATCTGCAGAGATAGACATACCCATTGCATATGCTATATGCTATTAATATTGTCATGCAGAACATAAAATACAATGGAAACTTCTCTTTTTTTCCCCAGTGCATTCAAAGCTGGGGACCAAAAGTAAAATCTAATCTTGTGCATGCTAGGAATAGAAGGTCCTTTGGGAAGGAACAAAAGCCAAACTTAAAAAAAAAAATGAAATGAAAACAAAGTTATTTCCAAAGAAAGGGTTATAAGTGACCATTCCTGGGAACTTACTCAGAATCTTTGTTCCATAACCGTCGTCAACTAATCCGGGGAAGTCCTGCACGGCAGTCCCCAGAGAGAGCAATGAAAGGAAAGAACAGCCGCAGAAGAGGAAGGAAGAGGTCAGTGGAGTTGAAATGGATACTACCATGACAGACCATGCAGATCACCCAGTCTGGATTCCTGCTTTGTGAGCAAAATAAGGCTTAACCTCCCAATTCAAAAACTTTTATGGAAGCCAACAAGAAGGAGATATATTTTGGTTAAAGTGAGAAAGCAAAAGACTCTCTTTAGCAAAAAGAAATATCTAAGAAATTGGCCAAAATTAAGATGTTCAGATTGGCAGATCAGAAGATAACTGTCTTCAACCTGCTGCTGAAGGCCACATATGAGGACCTCAAGGACTGGGCAGCTTGTTAATTTTAAGTCAGAGTGTCTCAAATAAATGAAGCTATTGAAGTTCAGGGAACACATAGTCCTTATGCCAGTTTTTTTAAAGAAGCTTATTTGTGTGTGGTAGCAATATATATAACTTGCTACAGATTTTATGTAAAATAAAAGAGTATTTTAAGATAGCCAAATGTTGCATTAAAGTTTTTGGAATTAAACCTTGTGATAATCTTGTTCTACCATATTTATCTATTTATTGACAAACATACCACATTCATCCATTTGTTAATAACAAATGAAATAAATGTGCTTGTATCTCTGCATCTAAACATGTTACTACAGAAATTTCTCAGCTCTGAGCATCAGTCGAACTGCCAGGAGGAATGAAGTTCACCTCATAATCTGAATTTGAAAATCATCCTGGACTGAATGGGCACTTGAGTCTCAAAGGTGTTTAATGGGAAGGAATAAGGATTGATTTCTTATTTTGTTACTGTTTTTACCATTTTATTGTATTACTCTTTTTATATTTATTTTACTATGGATGCCAGTTGTGGAGAGTTTTACCCCATAAATGCATCTTAAATATAATTTCAAATAGATTAGGCCAGACTAGATTAAATTAGACTAGATAAAAGGATGTTAAGACGCCCAATGGTAGATATTAAACCCAGCTGGGGACTCATTATCTTTTTTAAATATATATCTTAGAAATTACTTGCATCTCGATTTCCCACTTCGGTTGCATTGTGTGAAGTGGCAAACTGGGAAAACTTCAATCAGATATCTGATTTTCACAGCTAAGACACTTCTCCTTTTTCCTAAAAATCTGGGAGCCAGATCCAGGCAATCTCATTATCAAGAGTCTTCCAGTTCAATAGCCTCAACTGTCATGCTAAGAAAAGTCAAAGCCATGGATGTCTGAGTCGGAACTTACAGGCAGAATCTACCAAGGTGTATCGCTAGCCAAGGTTGAGGCAAGTATGAAACACCAATCACCAAAATGTTTGAAAAGGTGTGGCTTTCTCCTTAACCAATATTTGAAATGGACCAAATAAAGGAACAGTGACCAACACATATTTTGGATACTTCAAGCAGTAGTGACAGATGATTTTCCTTCCCTCTCCTCCCACAATCCCCAAAGGGAATCCAGACTGTTATATACATTGGTCATAGTAGTAATGCCTCACCTGTCCTAAACCTGACTTTGGTTTGCCTAGGTGTATGAGGATGACTGGTGCCGTGCATGTCACCCATGTGTTTCACTGTGATGTTGTCTCTAAATATTTACTTACGTTCAGGGTCACTGGTGTCCTGCTCACTCATCTCCTTGCTCTTGTAGAATGGGAATTTTCGTGAAAAGATGAAGTTCTTTTTACGCTTGTCATTGAATGACTGTGAAGGAAAAAAGGCATGGGGCAAAAACAAGGACGTCTAATTGTTGTCACACTCATGCTGACAAAACAACTAGTTTGTAAAAGTGGAAAACAACTGTGGTGACACTGTCCAATTTCTTGCTTTGGTTTCAAAGGAAAGCATCGAGAAGAAAAAAAAAAGAGGGAAAGATCTGAAGGTGCTTGAGATCTTCAAAGGTTTTAAGGTATCTGCAGATTAGAGCTGCAATGTTTCTAAACCCAGCAGTTGGAAATCTGATGCTCAACAGATATTTAAACTTCCAGTCCCATTCAGCATGGTGATGGAGATTGTAGTTCAACATTGCTGGAGAACACTAAGTAACTCACCCCTGGATTAATTGGTGAAGGCTCTAATCCTTCCTATCTGGAAGTTGGTCCTAATGAAAACATTGAGGTTCACTTCCAAGTTGCATAAAAGTATATCTAAATTAAACAGATGCAACTGGAGTTTAGGATTTTTATACGGAAACATCAGCCCATTTATGTTATTGGGCATATTAATGCAGCTGCAAGGATGTAATTCAAAAGCCCTGTAGAAGACATGCCTCAATCAGAAAATAGATGAGGAAATGTGTTATCCTCCAAAGATGGTCAAATTCTGTAACTTATCATTCAGGGCTATGTTAGTTATGGCCAGTGGGAATTCTTATTCGGCTACATCTGAAAGCTGCAGTCCTTTTCATTTTTAAGAAGAGGTGCTCCCCTTCTTTCTCCATCACAGTAAGAATGCTCCTTCTAAGAAGGTGCTTGCTTGCTTGCTACAAACTTATGGCTGGGTTCACAAAACACTCTTAATGAGGTCAAAGACATAGCAACTGCTTTCACATGACCTATAAAGCTTGGGTAGAAAGATCTTTGGTTAGGCTTTTTTTTGTGGCTTAGCATGTTGTGTGAATCCACACATCTACAATTCCAGCACTTTGTGCAGGCTCAGTAATTCAGTAAGTATGTGAAATGTGTTGTGAATGCAGCCTATCTGCACATAGTTGACAAGCCAATAATGTAGTTATTTCCAACTTTATGAAAATTCCTTTAAATAATAATAGTAATAATGGCAATAATAATAGAATGCTCTTTTTTATTATGAGCTTTTGTGCTATGGTGATTTTATACTTGTATCTGCTTTTGTATAATTTTATTCGATATTTGATTACTAGTTGCTGTTTTATTTGCTACACCGTTACTACTGTATTCTACTCTTTGCTATGGTATATATACTCGTGTTTTATACTTGTATGCTATGATGTTTGCATACTTGTATTTAATTATTTTATTGGTTTTTTTGAATCGATGAGCTGCCTTGAATCTTGCAGGGAAGTAGTGCACCTATAATGGAAATAGATACTTTTTCGTCATGGCATGCCAATCTACTTTCCTTCCTTTGTTCAGACCGGATAAAGATTTTTTTCTTCATTTCACAATCCTAACAGATTTACAGACTTGTTTAAAAACCTGCAGCACCCATTCCCGATTCAAAATTTGTAAAATATCTGCTTACTTTGGTCACAAAAGTTTCATGCCACTTTTACACTCCAAGGATATTTAAAATTTAATAACTAAAAAAAAAAAAAAAATCAAAAAGGGTGGGGGGAGAAAAATTATAGACATAGAAACCTATGAATGTCCCATTAGGGCTGTAAACATTTGGATTAGAAACAACACAACCGTCATGCCAAAAAAAGAGTAACGTATAAAATCATGCAAACTACAAACCATGCAAACAAAAAATAAAGGCAGATGTCCAAAATTATAGGCATAAAAGGTTTCCAAATGTCATTTGGTTGGAGGGTGGGTGGACCAGCACACTGATAATATTGACAGAATGGCCGATAGAATCTAGAGAAATTAAAATGTGCTTTTCTCTGTCTCTCTCAATTGTGATCCTTCTTTCCAGAATGAAACAATGTCATCTCATAACATTATTCTCATTAGGACAAGGTTACTTAAACCACAACTCATCTGGCATAATTTGATTGCAGACATATTTCCAAATATTCAAAGAAAGCAGACCTAAAATTGGCAAGCTAAATGTCTTTTCCTTCGAGCCACTCAAAAGGTTCCTGACTGTGATACAAGCAGACTGGCAATACCAAAGAACAGTAATCCAACTATCATTTTATATTGAAATTTGTTGTATATCTTCCACTCTCCTCCTTCTTAGCATCAAAATGGTACACGTCAAACAGGACAGCTAGTTTAGGTTAAGTTGCCTATATCTTAGGACAGCACATCCAGTATCTGGTTATCTAATGCTTGAGGTCAGAATGGTGAGCTCTTTGCCCACCTTTGGAGAAGAAATTGGTATATCTAGAATGTTTAGGTCATGGAAATGTCTGCATATAGTCTTTCTGATATGGTATGGAGTCTGTGAATTTATCCACTCAGAAGAGACCTAGTAATTACCAGATAACATTAAGCATGATCTACAGTAGGTAGGCTGCAGAATATAGGTTCAGAAGTTCAACACATCTAGAATGCACAAGGTTGAGAAAGATCAGTCTGTTCAGTGTGCTCTACGTGGAATTGCTCTTATCAAAATGCAAAAGCTGCATCTGGCACAGAATATGGTGGTCAACTTCTGACTGGGCATGGACCATGGGAAGAATTTCATAGCAGTCTATCACTATCTTGCAAATGTTCTTGGGGAATGGTGGTATTGGCCCTTAACCTGTTTCCCTTCATTATTTATGAATCTTCCACTTAGCTAGGTGGGTCGGCTGCTGCAAACATTGGTTGGCCAGCATATTATGACTGATACTCCCTCCGTATGGAAGCAGATAATCTATGAAATGTGTTAGACCCTAGAGCACTTCTGTATATTTGAGGTGTGCACCAAGTCATTGGCAGCCTGTTGTGGCTGCAGTCCAAAAATAGACAAACCCAGCCCCATTTGGGGAAGGAGATTAAAAGCTTTGGACAAACCCCTCCCAATCTCCCCTTGCAAAAGAGTGGAATCAGATTCTTGGCCTCACTTGTTTGGGGCAGGAATGCTGGAAAACTGAGTAGTCCTGGGCCACACTTTTGCAGCCCTGGCTTGGCGATATTAAATCATTTGAGAATTCCCCCCACATATTTTAAACTCAGCAGAGAACTGCCGCTCTCTTTAGTGTGTCATCCTGATATGCAATATTCTCCCAGCTTAGTATGTGCATCTCTTTTGTTGCCATTGTGGTTGCTGTATGATTTAAATGTCCCATGTTGCCTTGATTGTATTCGAAAGGCTTTGTAAAGGACATAAATACACTTGTACAAGCATAGGTGCTTAGCATATTCAAGGATTCGGAACAGAATTGTGAGAAATCCTTTAGGACAAGGAAGGTGCTATACTTGATCTGAGCCAAAAGGAAAAGGAAGGCAGGAAAGGGTTGGAGGGGGCGGAGGGGATAGTGTAAGGAGAAATACAAGCAGGCTAATGCCTCTGTACTCAGAAGCAGAGAGCAACACATGGCCCACGAAACTCCGTGCCAAGAATGCCAATTACTTCATCACGTGGATGGACAATAAAATCATAGGTGGTATGTACCATTGGTGTGCTCTTTGTCATTCATGTCCACTTTTCCTCTCCTGGCATTGTTGAAGACTAGTTAAGAACTGAACACTGGAAGAACATTGCTTTCAAGATCTAATTGAGGGACATCAAGGAGGCAAATATTTGGGTCTAACACCATCCCAGAGTCCAACGAGTTGCAGTTCTTCCTATTGTCCAGTGATTAATGTATGTACTTAAGAAGGAATATAGAGGACTTTAATACCTAGCTGGAAAATGAATATGTGCTGCAGCATTAAAAAGCCTTCTGAGATGTCAGATCCCTAACGGCAATTCATATACGCCAGGCCTTCCTAGGCATTGTAATCATTAGCTTATAAAACTGTAAGTTTGAACCATTTGCATAAAGAAGGCTTGTTGGACACATTGATGATAAGCACCCTGTTTAGAAATGCTTTGATTTGAGAAAAACTCCACCTTAGTGAAGTGGGACCAAATATATAAATAAGACTGTGATAGATTGCAATCTGGAAAAAAACAAACCAAATCGTGTTCTCCTGATAGAACCTCTTCATTTTCTTTCAGATCTATATTTGCTGCTGGTTTAACAAGGTCTTGACTGTTCTGCAAAGCAGATTATCATATGAAATTGCACGAAGCTCATGACAGCTACTGTCAAGACTTGTTGCTATTAATATGGAGGTTCAGGTGATGCAAGTCTTGGATTTCGAAAAGTCAGGAATGGTTGGTTCTGAAGTCAGCTGCAGCCCTGTTTCCCTTTAAATAAGACAAAGGGCTCTTGATAACCCTTCCTTCCTTACCATGAAGGTCCATGATATGGATTATGTGCTCAAATCTTTCCCATACCACATGTTTCTCATCCTTGGCAACTTTAAGATATGTGGACTTCAACTCCCAGAATTCCCCAGCCAACATGCTGGCTGGGGAATTCTGGGAGTTGAAGTCCATATATCTTAAAGTTGTTAAGGTTGAGAAACACTGCCATACCATGTTTAGCCCAGTTTAACCTCCCTTTGTCAAACCGGGAAAGAATGTATGCAATATTCAAGTTGCAATGAAGTTGCAACTTCATATATTCATCTTTCAGGACAATTAATTAATTGATAATGTATCTTTTCCAAGTTGTGGCAGACACCGAAAGCAATAGGTTTGAGAAATGGAAATTAAAATAGAATAAAAACATTTTTTCACAGAGTGCATAATGCGCGCCTGGATTCACTTCCACGGGGTGTAGCAATGGCTGCTAGAGCAGGCAGTTTTTAAAAGTATTAGACAAATTCACGGAGATAGAATGCTTAATATGTATTAAACATGACAAGTAAGTGGAACGTGCATGGAAATAGAATATTGATGAATACAGATACAAAGGTCAAATAACATCAGAGCACAGTGGCTTCCATGCCTTACTTGTGTGCTTCCTGAAGACATTGGTTGGGCAATTTCCAAAACCAGAATGCTATATGTGATACAAC